AAAATTTAAGGTGGAGACTTCTAAAATTTGTTACTAGGGAACAATTTAAATGAAATGGAAGGTGGGAGATCTTGAATATAATTCTATTATCAATAGCACACAAAAAAGTTATTCTATTACTATCCCCTCGTGAGAGTGTGATTCGAGAAGTGTCAACTTTTTGTGAAGAAGCAATTATTTGGATAATGAGAGAGTCATGGTATAGATATCAACAATCTAATCCAAAGAAGCAATGTGATGAACAATAATTGTCGTAGATTCGATGCATTCCAATATGAATGAATGTCAATTTCAATATTCTTGGTACATGGATTAAAAATGAAATTGAAGAGTTGATTGAAGTAGATGAGTACAAATAGATTCTATCAAGTGACAATGATTTTGTTCAATCATGTTATTTTGTTTAGGATTAAAGTTGTAGCTGAATTGTTATTTAATACCCAAACAATGAAATAAAGTTTTAATTGAGTTTTTTATACACTCACCTCTACTATCAAAATAGAAAATTTTCATAGAAAATAAAAATTGACATCCCAACATAGCATTAAAATGCAAAATTTTATAAATAATTTTAGATTTACGATGCATTGGATAAACCAAAAAAAAAGTGAACATTTATCTACAATTAGGACACATAGTTTAGAACAATTTAATAAAGAAAAAAGAAAGGGTTTCTACACATAAAAATGTATTTGCTCAAATATTTTCTTAGATTTAGTAGAATTAAGAAAAAAAGAATTGTAGATGAATATTATTTAAAGAACAAGTTACAAAAAAACAAGAAGAAAAATTACATAGAATAAAATTTTATTTAGCTAATGCCCACTAAACAATGGAATAAGAGTGACTAAGTCTTCGATGAAAGAGAGTTGATTGACTTGAAAAGGTGAACAAGGCAGTTTGATCTAAGTCAAAGTGGTGAAAAGAAGACAAAAAATAAGCAATCAGGTTATTTGAATGGCTTGAAGATTATGAGCAGTTTGACAAGCCTTACTAATTAATCCATTGCATAACCAAAAGAATAGAGATCATCCATACATAGAGAGTAAAGAATAGTACATATAGTATATTTTAAAGCTTAATAGGTAGCAATTAAGCCACTCAATGTGTAAAAAATAACATCTTCAATAACCAAGCTAACTTTAGTGGTAGTTATAGCACCAACTTTGGATTTTTTGGATTAATAAATATTGTGTTACGTTTCATCCTTCATTGACTTATGATGCAACTAATTCTGTAGTTCTGTGACCTTAGACCTATTTGTGAGCTAAGGAATGGTCTATATCATTCCAATATTTCACATAAGTCTCCGGATTAAGAATATAAGGTAAGAGGGACAGAGAAATCAAAGAGAGTAATGCAACAATTAGATTGTGATTTATCAACATCCAAGTGCTAAGTGAGGTACGACAAGATATTGCCACTGGCATCAAAAAATTATCTAGCAATTAAAAGGAGCTATCAAGATAGTCGTTAAAGAAACAATATCAACAACAACAACAAAGCCTTTATTCTACTAATTTGTGTCGGCTACATGAATCCTTTTTCTCCATTATGTCTTATTGAGTGTCATATTTTCATTTAATTCTAATAAATTAAGATCATTTTTTGTACAGCTTGGCGAAGTCTTTTTACATCCACCTCTATCTTTTTTAGAATAAGTTAAATCTAAAACATCTACTCTTTTAATAGGGTCATTAGATGGTCGATGCTTAATGTGACCAAACCATCTAAGGTGACTCTCTCAGATATTGCATATAACTGCATCTACTCCAACCCTTTCACAAGTATATTCATTTCACATTTTTAATCTTAGTTTAAAACCACTCATCCACCCAAGCATTCTCATCTTAGCAATGCTTAACTTAATTTTATGTTTCTCTTTTACAAACCACCATTTTGTGCCATAAAGCATTACAAGTCTCACAAACAACTTATAAAGTTTTCTTTTAAGTTTAAGTAGTACCTTTCTATCACATAATAGGCCCAATCCATTCCTCCACTTCAACCATTCGACCTAAATTCTACCAATAACATCCCCTTTTATATCATCATCACTTTGAATAATAGACCTGAGATATCTAAAACATTCACTCCTTACATTCCAACTACTTAATTTTAAATTTACTCAAATGAAAGCCTTTATACTCTATAGTTGACCACCTTCTATAAATTTCCAACAAGAGCATTTATAACTATAGCAAAAAGATACAAGCTTACTAAAATAACATTCCATGTAGTTGACCACCTTCTATAAATTTCTAACAAGAGCATCCATAACTATAGCAAAAAGAAACAAGCTTAAAGTTGATCTCTGATATAATCTAAATATAAAAATGCATGGTCAATCTTCTTTGTTTTCAAACACAGATAACAACTATAGTATACATATCTTTAATGACTTGAATATAAGCAGCATCAATACTTTTCTTTACGAGAACACTCTAAAGTACTTCTTTTGGAGCTTTATCTAAAGCTTTTGTTTTTCTAATTAACAAAAGTCATATGTATTTCTTTTTTATTCTCTCTATACCTTTTCATAAACATCTTAATAAATAATCTTACAATCCCTTACAATCTCGCAGATTTTTTTTCTCGTAAAAAAATAATCAATTTATATTTTATTAAATCCATTCTTATATGTAATAAAATACTCATTTATTCTTTTAAATATAACATTAACAATAATAAATGTACAATTTAAAGTAAAATTCAGCATGACTCGACTTTCTTCATTAGTTACTCCAAAATCATATCTAATATAAATACTTATAAAATCTTCTACTATTCTACGGACATGTTCTTTTAAATTTCCTTCAACAAATTTTTTTTTTTCAAGAGAAACTCTTTGTATTTATTCATCTAGGTCAATCCAAAATTCTAATTGGGGAATATAAGCACTTATAATATTAAGAATATTAATATCAACAATAATTTTTAGAGCTATAATTCCATCTCTAATTTTTAATTTTTACAATATTATCTTTCAATCTCTTATATATAATTAAACATACACCATTTTTATTATGGCTCTTACCTAAATGCCAAAATTTAAAATCTAAATATCAATCTCCTTACCCTGTTATCCAACCCATTTTTTCTTGAGTACATAAGACATTATCTTTCTACAATTCATAATATCTAATCATTTCAATAAATTATATATAATAGTATCTGTATTTCAAGTTCACATCCTTATATTAATTTTATGTATTAACTTCTTTGCCCACATTCGTCCATAATATGAAAACTCTTATTTAACACTACACCCTGACGTCGCTGCAACAACTCATACACTTGTCACTATATTTTGGTAATACAACATGGTGCTTCTAAGGGACACCTTAGCATTGTCACAATGACTTAAATGATTTATTTCATAGTTTTCAACAAAATTTTTACACTGGTTGTCAACTACCTAACTCAATCTTTCACTTTTCGCATCCAAGACTTGAGAGATGATAATGGACTAGTGATAGCTGCTAAAACTATTCACACAAAGTACTTCAACACTTGAGATATCCTTGTAAGATGATTATCCATGAATAAGCTGTTGCATGATTACACTTTTAATAGTAGAACTTCGAAATTTGAGTTGAGGAAAAATAGGAGTGCTGCCCATGAACAACCTTGAAGATAAGGCTCTAGCTGAAAGTGAGCTAGTTGAATCATACATGGAAGAGAACAGGAACAGAAATCACGGATAAGAAGTGGAAGAACTAGCCGTTAGGCAACTTTAGCTCTAAAGCCATGTGAACAGATAAGCAAACAACAAATAGTTTCTGTTCATAGTAAGAAAAAAACATAGCACATAAGAAAAAATAAATGAGCCATTTCAACAAGATATTCTTAAAATTCATTAGTATTTATACAAGAAATATAGAACTAAACCACCTCATCAAAAATGCAAGGTGGAGATTTCTGGAGGATGTTACAAGGGAAAGGTTTAGATTCAATAAAAGGTGGGAGTACCTGACAATACAACAACAACAACAACAACAACAACAAAGCCTTAATCCCACTATGTGGGGTCGGCTACATGAATCCTTTTTCTCCATTGCGTCCTATTTAGTATCATATTTTCATTTAGTTCTAGTAAATTAAATCATCATTTTTAATACAATAAGCCCAAGTCTTCCTAGGTCCACTATGTGGGAGTACCTGACAATACAGAATATTATTCTGTTATCAAAAGTACACACAATATTTATTCTGTTATCAAATTTGTGGCCTTAAAATTACAACCAAACGATTAGGTCACAGATTGTCCCACGGAACAATAATAATAGTTCGAAACACAAAGAAAACAAACCACCGAAGTTTCACAAAGATTAACTTAACAGAAAAGCAAAAAACCAAACTCATAACAAGTCAAGGCTAATATCAATCCCACCTTACTGTATGAGAAAAGAAAACTAAATACAAAGCAGAACACAACACCAGTGATTCCAAAATACAACGACATCATTATATATACAGAATTTATACAAAGAACTCCATAAAGAATACCTCAGCCCATAGAAAAGTAACCAAGGGAGTGCCACACGCTGAAACAATAGAGATAAAATCAAGCCATGAAAATAGAGCAAGCCACCATAAGCATTCATCCAGGAAGCCATGAATTTTTTTTTTCTAAAGCCTTTAGAAAATAATGAAAGACTAACATTACATGAATACAAAAAATTTCAAAGAACTTGCCACATATTGGTTCAATCAAGAATACATAGCAAATAAAATTGATATCTGACAGAGTTCACATATAAGAAGAAATCTCAAAGCACTGTAATTCTGTCATATAACGACTGCAGGGAGTAAAGGCATCAGTCAACACAAGTGTCAAAACAATTCCAAGCCCAGAAGAAAAACATCAGAAGCCCAACCAACTAACCCCCAGAAGATTTTATCCTGAATCGAACCAGTATCACATTAATAAATGCAATCAGAAAAGAAACTAAATTAGATCAAGCAAATACAAAAGAAAATAGTGCTCCAAAATGAGTCATATTCTAATAAAGCTGCTAATCTGCGATCTTTATTGACGTGGCAATGCAGTGTTAAAAACTAGGCGTAGCCTTCATGATACATTATGCCAAATTCAAAAATAAGTTTCACTCATATGTCAACTCAAGACTTCTCCTGCAATGCAGCTTGAGTAATACATCAAGGAATTAGTTAACCTAAAAGGCTCATTGAAGTAGCTTACGAACATATGACAGCAATGTTAACACGTGAAACAATCTAAACCAATTGTCACTTCCAAGCCCACATGAAGGTTTTGACCATTACCTTCTTTTACTCATACGAATTTCTATGCTATCAGCCTCAACTAATTTCATTCATTCCAGTGAAACAGCAATCATACCAAATATTAGAGCACAGGCCAAAAGCATTTTCAAGCACACAAGCTTCAACCTCTATTAGAGTGATGGTATCTTCTCCTGATTCAGCCCAGTGGTTTTATCTAAGCATGGCGGTCGTACTGCCTTGTAGTAGAAGAACGCCATCATCTTTGACCACTCATCTGCGGTCCTAACAACTGTAAAGTCAAAGAGAATATTAGAAACATTGAAAATCCCAATAACTTTCTTAACATCAGCACCAACCTTTGTCACGGTGCAGTATCTTCCCAGCTTTCGTGAAGATTATCTCAGGAAAGATGGATACTTGCAGAGCATCAGCCAGCTCATCCTCAACAATAGCATCCACAGCTACACACTACAAAACAAACAAAATAGTGTTGCTATAGAGTGAACAAAGTATAAGAAGCAGCTAGTATTTATTTGATGATGCTAATTTACTCTAGGTGAAGGAAGTCCAGTCTCCCAAAAAAACTTCACAGCCTTCTCCAATTCATCCCTTGCCCTCACATTCTCTTTTGGCCTGCAAAATAGCAAATCATGTTTCTCTTAGTATTGAATGTTAAAATCTCGTTAACATTGATCTAAAATCTTAAAGTTCAGAAAATGCACATATGCAATATGTGCTTTGCAAACGTGGGCTGAAAGCAAAATAAAAGAACGCAAGAGCTCAATGAAATTTGAGACTTCCGACTAATAGGTGTGATTTAGTAGTTTTTACCAAAGTTAGAGCTTTACATTTTCATGAAATTTTCACTTTGTTTTGAGAAATCCATTGCACTAATTAAAATATATCTTAATCAAGGAAAACGGAACAGTTAAATGAATAACTTTCATTTGTCTATTTTCTGTGCAGAGCACCAATTGCTGTGATTTAGTAGTTTTTTTTCCATAGCTAGATCTTTACATTTTCAATATTTTCACTTTATTTTGTGGAATCAATTGCACCAAGTAAAATATATATGTTGATGTTGGAAAATGGAGCAATTAGATGAATAACACTCATTTCTACGCTTGGTTTATTCTTGACTTTTCGTAGCTAGTATTGTTTTGCTCATCATAGCGAGTCATTTCATTTATGCACAAACCATAAAACATCTTAAATTTGTTCAAATAAAGTTATAAAGAACCAAATTTTGAAACTAAGTGAAGTAATTTCTATGAGAAGATACTCATCACTTTATTATTTATTTGATCATATACCCTTGCATATGCATTTTAAGTTTTTGCGTCATTGTTGGAGATTGTTCAATTGCTGATATCGATACTAGATTTGTTTAAGTTTACTTTGAATTTCTTTTCAAGATTTCTAATTTTTAGCTTTGTTCTGCTTTTCAAGTGCTCTCGTAGTGCATGAATTGCTATGGTGGTGAGCTGTTACTCTCAATTGATTAGGAGATCAAAATAATGCTTTTGAGGAACTTGAGGGAACAACATCAAGCCATAAATATAGCTCATTAAACTATGGCAAATCGAAAAGAGGCTATCATGGGTCCATGAGATTACACTTTGCTGATTGTTCACAAAATGGCCAAGGTGATTGTCTAGCCTAGGATTCAAGCTAATAACTTTGATATTAAGCTTGTCACACTATAGAAGATTTATAATTTTCTGTTTGAAGGTGTAGTGATTGAGGACCCAAACTATCATATCACAAATTACCCCGAGATTATTGACACATTCAAAAAATGATTCAAAGGGCAAGAAGAAGCCCGATACAAAACAAACAAGTGCAGACAAGAAAGATGCTGGTAAGAAATAAAGGCCTAAGATGAAGTTTTTCCTTGACAACCAGCTGCATATATTCCACCATTGTTGTATCCACAATAATTTTCAGAAGTGAATCTAGAGAAATAATTTTCCAATTTCCTAGAGGCGTTTAACAAGTTATATATTGATGTATATCAATATCATGCTTATTGATGTGTTGGAGAAGATGTCCAATTATGTCGAAGTTATGAACAAGATCCTCTTGAAAAAAAGGAAACTAAATGATTATGAGACAACGGCCACATAGGGATGCAACACTATTCTGAAATACAAGCTATCCAAAAGAATGAAAAAATATCTAGCCAGCTTTACTATTCGCCCACTTTATGACATAAACTCAAGCATTAATCTCATGCCTTTGCTAGTAAACAAGAAGTTGAGATGGGGGGAAGGAAAACTGACCACGGTCTCACTGCATTTGATTGATAGGTCAATAAAGTATCCCAAGAGATTGTTGATGGTTTAGTGAAATTTCAAAAGATTACTTTTCATGCAAATTTCATCATCTTGGATACAGAGGACGAAAACTAAATTTATCATATTATTCTTGGTAGACCATTTATAATAACTTAAAATGTCAATATTAACTTCCAGAATGGAGAACTACACCTTAGAAACCAATAGAAAGAAGGGATCTTCAAAGTTTATGATAATATATACATCCCACAACAAAAGAAAAATTATTTTTTTTCCTGATGCATGCTATTCTGAACACCTTAGCCATCATACAAAGGCTAAGAATGATTATATGGTCGAAATAGTTTTTGTGAAGCACTAGAAGTATAATATATCACTTGATAAGATTTAGAATAAAAAGACCAAGTAAATGTAAAAAATATTGAATGACATGCTTGTTGAGAGTTAACCCAAAAATTATAAAAATCTCATTTAAATTATTTACCTTAGTAGTATTTTATTTTAGCTAATAATACTTATCTATTTTTTTCTTTTTCTTTCTTTTTTTGAACAGGGAAAAAGAATAATTCATTTAGTAACCAATAAAACCAAAGTCACAACACTGTTTTTAACAGCGTGGAAGACTACTACAAGCCTCCACACGAGAAGTTTTGCTATCACTAATATTTTACTAGTTTGCTTATTTTTGCACAGCATGCACTAAGGACATAGCAAAAATTGTGTCTTTTGCTCATGTCATCTAATAATTGGTCGGTTGGTGGTACACTGTCAAGTGTTGTGATTTTAGGACTACTAACTTATCGTGGTTGATCAAATTTCTTGAGTAAGAAAAGAAAAAAACTTGTGGGTGTTGGAATATCACAGGAGTGGAGGGAAGAAGAATCATTGTTATTCACTGTAGCTAATATTTGAGTGTTGAGCGACTCTTAATTTAGATTCTTGAGGCATAGAAAAAGTTTAAATGTGTTAACAGTCTATAATTATGAAAATTAGGTTAGTTTGTGGGTTATGCATCCCCTGCATTAGTGTGACATTTATGATTAAGAAATTTATACAACAGTATGTTAATACAATAGTTAATATAATCCTTGTAACACTCAAATTTTATGAGTGGTATAAGAAATAGTAATCCTTAGGAATGAAAGTATTTTGATCTGAGAATTAAAAAAAAAGTACTTTGATCAGCGAGTAAGGTGTCTTATGAGCATTTGTATTCTTGAGCATTGGGTTTTGCTTTTTCTTTTTGTTTATTTTACCAAAAAATGAATAAGTATAAGACGTGAGGGTAATTTGATAGTAGTGTTTATATTAAGTACTTCCTCAGGCAGATCATTGAATTTTTATCTTTTTTGCCTTAATTTGAGAAATTCATTATAGTAATTAAAATATAGTTGTTGATGTAAGGAAAAATGAGCAATTTGATGAGCATTCACCTATGTGGATTTTCTGTAAATGATACGAAAAGAATGCAAATCTGAAGTCACTTGAGCAGCAGACTTAACATACAAGCATTGGAGGGCTTGTGCACCCAAATGCTTACTCTGAAATTCAGGTACTAAACCTAGAATAATTTGAATTTTTGCATAGAAAGTTGAGAACTTAGGCATCCAAACCTAATGCCTAGGCTCCCAATTTGGTATTAGTGTCAATTTCATAAATTTTTCCAGCTGGCTTGTTGGGAGCGCACATGTTTTATTCTAGCTCCGAGGTTACTTGACATGGCACTAGCCAATATATTGATGCTTTCAAGAGAAAAAAAATTATAATTATTTGGGGGTATCCATATATGAATGTTTTGCAATATTAGATATTTAACAGCTTAAAAAAAGACAACTACGGAGGATCAAAATGAGAGTCAACAGAATCCAAGCTTTTTCTTTTCCCTAGCTTTGATTTGTTTTGCTTTCTATAGTTTATTTTTGTCTTTCTTTTTAGCCTAGCATGAACTAATACCCTTTTCTAAAGACTAGATAGCTGAAGATTTCTATGTTAGATTTGGCTAAATGAAATCAATCTTTGTGCTCTTAATTTCAACAACAACAACAACAAAGCCTTAATCCCACTACGCTAGATGAATCCTTTTTTCTCTATTACGTCCTATTTAGTGTCATATTTTCATTTAGTTCTAATAAAATAAGATCATATTTTATACAATAAGCCCAAGTCTTCCTAGGTCTACCGATGTCTTTCTTAACATAAGTTGAATCTAAAACATTTACTCTCCTAATCAGATCATCAGATGGTCTATTAATCTTCGGGCTCTTAATTTATACGATAAAAATTTAATATGCATTTAATTTACGTAGAATTGTTTGAAATTGAGATGCCGATGACAAACTGATTTTTGACTAAACTATCTTGACTGATCATAGGATAGAAATATCCACATTAAAGTCATGGAATTCCTTAGATTATATTAATAAATAAGAATGTTTTGCAATATTAGATATTTAACACTAATTTTATTTAACTTGACTACTTTATATTTCCCTTACTTAAGAACACTAAATTTTTTTTATATTGAATTTAGCTCAAAGATTATAGTATGTTGTATTGACAAATTAAAAAAACCAATATTTTTTAGAGTATGATTAGTACACTTCTAAATCTAATTACAATAAATTTGTGCATATTAGATATGGTTTACAAGAATGCATCTACAAAAATATAAGTGAATTATAATTTTTAGATTTTTTAATCCTATTATTGCAACCCTTAGTTTGGTCCTTCCTTTTTGTACCTAGTATTACTTTAGTTTGCAATAGTGAGTCCTTTTATTTATGCACAAATCCTATCCTAATTTCAACTTGTTCAAATAAAGTTAAGATCAATCTAATATTAATACATAATGGTCCAATCCTTCATCATTTATAACGTGTTCAATAGCACTTTTCCATAACACTGACTCTACTAATTGTGGATAAAAAACTAGCCCTATGCTCGAGAACTCTCATATGACTTCAAAATTCAAATAAGAGTGCAATAGTACATTCACACCAGTCGACTCCTAAATCTGAAACCTTAAACTTATTAGTTTTAGCAAAAAATTTAATCTTGTGTTCCATAAAATTGAATGAGTGGAAAGAAGGAGAAACCTTTTGTATCGATTGTGGACGAGAATGATGCAAGGGTTGAAATTCTTGAAAACAGTATCCTCCCATTCCCTAGCGGTTATATCTCTAATAGGCTTGATATAATCATCGTCCTGCCACACAATCTCCTTCTCGCTATCGTAACCTTCATCGTCATCCTTCCTCACATTCTTAATCCTGATATTATTAAAGAATTGATCAAATTTGAATCCCCATCCATCCGCATCGTCTGGCCAATCAGGGTCATCCTCTTCGACGACAAGCGGGTAGTCTGCAAGCAGCCTCTGCATTTTGATCTTGCGTTGTACTGGATCGGTCTCTTCCTCTACGACAGGGTTCGAATCCAGCACCCCCCTAATCGTCCTCCTCATCTCCAGTCTCTCTTCTTCAGTCATAAGATTAGGGTCATTGGCAACTCTGTGCTCTCTGTTGTTGGAATCTTCGTCTTCCTCATCCGCAACGCTTTCGCTGCTTTTAATGAATTTCTTCAATGCCTTCAACTTTTTAGGATGTACAGGTGCAGATGGTTAGGTGATTGATGCCTGAAGTGAAACAGTGTTACAACTCAGAAAAGTCAAGACGGTTACCGGCTTTGCTCGGGAGGAGCGAGTTTTTTCAATGCTAGAAGGAAGGTAATGGAAGCTAAGGTGCTTCTGATTCTTGGAATGTACTGGTTGTAAAGATGAGGAAATAGGAGAAGATTGGAGATTGCTTTGTATTATGCATATGGTCGAACGCCTTAAGAGCAGCGGTGCGTTCAGGGCCATGCTCTCAGATTCCTGGATGGATGAAAGAAAACTCTTACCTTTCGAATTCGGCTATAGTATCTACTTCAATTGGCACAATGCGGCGGGAGCGGAGCTGTCCAAGGAAGCTGTCGTGGGAATCTTCAAGCCTTTTTTTTTTCTTCTTCTTTTTATTTTATCAACAAATAATTATATAAAAAAAATATTTTTGCTCCATTCTAATATTGTTTATAAGATAATCAGTTCAAGTTCAATAACTTA